AAAATATGTACAATAAGAAAGATATTCATTAGGCAAAATAGAGATGCGAATCAGGAATTGATGAATTTTCCTTTACCAAGTGGTTGCAAAGAACTAATAAACATTTTCAAGGATGTTATAGGTAGAGGAAACAGCACCAGCAAAATGAGAAAGACATTATATAACCTGGTATATACAGAAAGTTACGTATGAGTTTAAGACAGTTGGATTCAAATGGGAGGGGACATGGGGAAGAGATGAGACTTCCCTATTTGGGGCAGAGATTAAAAAAAAATATTGACATATACTTTAGCAGTTGGTCTGACAACACAAAGAAAACCACAAAAGAAAATTTCCTCCCAACACTTCTTTTATTACCCAAACCTACCCTTTTTACATACAAAGGAAACATTTGCCTATTTTTTCTGAAACTGTCTGAAGTGCAGTGTTCAACATACAAGGGTTAAAAAACCTACTTATTATTAATACAAACAAGCAACACATTTTAAATTTAACATTGTCTGATGGCTTTCATTTTGTAAGCAGAAGTATTAGAAAGCCTGTACAATAATTACTACAATAACTTCTTCATAAAATTCTCTTGAAGAACTAGCTTATAGGTAAACTATGATTTTAACAGTGACTTAGAATGTTGTTTTCAGAAGCCTGTTAGTTAACACTCCTAACACTATCAATCATGAAAAACAGATTTTGTTGTTTTTAATTTAGCATCACTTTTTTTAATGTAACTAATCACAATTATTATCTTGAAGTTACTGATACAATATAGGTTTAATTATAATGTGGAATTTTTCTTAAACATATGCATTTTATACTCCTGTGGAAAATGAATACAACCAATTCAGATAATGCAATCTAATAAATGTCTTTACTTGATAAACTTTAACTGGAAGTATGAATACAATCCTATAAAAGTAATGTTGACAATATTTCCTCTCTGTGTGTTAGTTTGTATATACAATTACTTTCTCCTGAAATTTTGTTTAGTTTTAGATTTCTGCCATGCTTATTCTGTTTTCTTAAAATACTCAATTCATATCCACCATGGAACCACATGATATAGATATATAAGGTATGCTTATAAAGTAATGAAATCTATCTTTTTGTGTGAGTAGAAAAAAAGGAAAAACAAGATTTAAAAGTTTAAATATTAACCAACTGAAGTTGAATAAACCAATTCAGGTTTATAAAGATCTCAGCACAAATAAATCCCTGACTTATTTTTTCTTCTTTTTCAAAATACCCCTTGGGTCTCTAGATGGCACCCCATTAAATACCATTTAGCTTTGTCAAAATTGAGGATCTTCAAGGCTACCTTAAAATAATAAAAAGATGTACTCTTATTAGGAGTTACCTAATAAACACATAGAACATGGTTTCCTCCAGATTTCTACTAAAATTTTTTTAAAAAGGTAAATTCTTTACGTGTGTGAAAAACAAATCCAAAGGGAGTAAGTTTTCTCCATAAAATTTTCATAGAAATCTCAATTGATCTCATAAGGGACAGGCAAAAGGTCAAACAAAAACAAAAATATATGTTAATATATGTTTTCTTCTCAGGATTTTTTTTTTTAAAGAGGCGGAATCTTCTTCATGTGCTAGTTCTTCCCAAGCAGAAAACGTTCTTTAAATGAACTTCTTAAACAAAAAGCAGTCAATAAATGAAGGGTTCAAAGGTTTTCATGAAGTAGGTTCAAAATAAATGATCCTTGACATATATTAAAAGACTTCTAACAACCCTGACCATATAAAAAAGTAAAACAACAAATCTACTATAAGTACAAATTATATACATTTATTTTTTAATAATTTTAAATAACACTCTTGTATAAATTCTTCCATATATTCAAATCATACACAAATTTAGAAATGCATCACGAAGCCTAGTACAGCATATATATGAGACACATTTTTAAAGTCTGTGTTAGAATTTTAGTGACATAAATACAAGTTTAATGTTTCAGAAACATTCCCTAACTGCTTTGGCTGAAATTTAATGTATTACAGAGTGCTTGTGCCTAGCATGAAAACTTGACTTTAAATCATTTAGCTTTTGGATTGACTTAGATCTGAAGCTCTGGGCTCACATTCTAGGGCTGCTGTCCAGTTTTTGCGTATGCATAAGACACAAGAAAGAAAGATTCTGACTGCCTTTGAAAAAGCATCATTTTAATGATCCATAACTTTTAGATGATTTGATACTATTTGACTTCTTCAGATGAGTCAGTGTGTTCTCACTGCTTTTCCCCTTGGCATAGTCACTGGCCCAGGGTTAAAGAGAAACCTGCATTAACCTTCCATTACTCCCTTGCACACACTGAACTCATTTTAGCTCCTAAGCTCCTGACTACAAAGATCATAACAGAACAAAGGTTCATGGATGAGACCAAAAATGTTTCCTTTGCTCTAATGATTATCGTGGGTTGCTTTTTACTTCTCTGAGTTTTTTGTCAGAGAGTTTTCCTTGAGATGTATACATTCAAGTCCTACCCACATACCCCAAAATATACAAACCAGGGGATGTTTATTGTAAGTGGTATTATGTGTCCTGTCTGTATAGGACCAAAGTGGACAATCTAACAACACAGTTCCAATTGAAGCTGTCAAGAGGAAGTACTGGTGCTTTTAGCTCTCTGCCTCTAAAACAGCACAAGAAGGGTTAACTGTCCTGAAGGCGCTCAGCTGACCAAAATGAACCAGAGGAGACACTGAGTGTTGCTTTAATGGTCAAATTTCCTGGGAATATTCAAGCTAAAATAGAGAGTGGCAATATAATTTGAGGCTTCTACAAATTCTCTCCAAAAAGTCTCTCTCCTCCCATCACATGACCGTTCTGTGCTCCTCTCTTAAAATCCAGGTATTCCTGGGAAGATTAACACATTAGGCCCGTAGGACTTAGAATAAATGAAGTTTAGCTTTTATTATCATTTTTCTCTATAACTGGAGAAATTCTATTAATAGGAGAGCTCTGTTTGCTACAGGGTAGAGAGAGGGAAGGGAAACTCAGGGAGGACAAAAGACATACTTAACATTATCTAGGGCATCTAACTATCAGAAATATATGCGGGCTTACTAAAATGAATTCAAGATAACAGCATCACTTAATAGCAGTCTGTTTCTGTCATTTATCAATAAGATTCAATCAGTCTTATCTTATTTAAAAATAAACACACTTCTAAACCTTAGAAAAAATTATTTCCATATCAGGCTTTCTAAAGGACTGATGGGATCCTCTGCTGGGTGTCACTGCTCACAGGGATCGTGCCTTTAGAGGAATGGACATTGTGCAGTGCATTTCGTACTATTTTCCTAGTCTGATTTCAGTGGTACATCACTGCAAAATTGATTTACATTTTAGAGCAAAATTATTTCCACAAGCCAAAAGCTGGGGACACTAAAGCATATTTATAAAAAAAATCTTAAGACCTTAATTTTTTTCCATTTGGAAAAATTAAGAACATGATCTAGGAGCTGTTAACAAGTATTTAAAGATAAACATTCTTTCTGATTCAATTTTTGCAATACATTTTAAGGTTTGTTTCAAGCAGTTGCTAATAGACAAAATCCCGACTATTTTGCTTTGACTCTAGACTTCAGTAAACACTCCCTCTTTCTTGATTGGGTTAACTTCTGTTTGACAAGCACTTATTTCTCACTGTCCCTAAAACCTGACTTTTTTGGGCGGCAGGATATCTGGAAGGGGCCTGGTGGCGCAAAAGTTAAGCGCTTGGCTGCTAACCGAAAGGTTGGTGGTTTGAACCCACCCAGAAGAGAAAGACCTGGCAATCCGCTCCCGTAAAGATTCTGGCCTAGAAAACCCTACGAGGCAGTTCTACTCTATCACGTGGGGTTGTTATGAGTAGGGATCGACTTGACAGCACCTAACAACAACAACAGGATATCTGGGAGGAAGGCGGATCTGTGGAATTGTGCACAGTCTGTACAGGCATATGCAGCAGCCGTTGGGGAAAGCAGGTTCTCCCTTTCCGCGAGGAAGGATAACCCAAAAAACCAAACCCACTGCTGTCCAGTCAATTTTGATTCATAGGAAGGATTAGTTCATTTTAATGAAGTACAAACTGGCAGTACTGTTTTCTTATCTCTAATATCAGCTTCAGATAGTAAACCTCCTGTCCTTCAAGCTGCACAGCCCTGGGTTGCACCTTGCCCTTTTAAAAATTTAGAAACATCCACAGATAGGACTCTTCCTCCCAGCCTTCTTGTGTCATGACTAGGCAATTTCTGCATTAGAATACAGTGGAAAGGACATGTGCTTTGGGGTTAGGAGTCCTGATTCCAAGCCTAATAATGACATATGCTGTGCAGCCTTGAGTAAGATACTTAACTCCTCTGAGCCTCAGACTCCTTATCTATCAAATGGGGACAATAATTACTTCCTCAGGGGGCTATGGTGAGGAACAAAGGACATACATATAGAAAAGTGCTTTGCAAACTGCAAAGGGCTATGGAAATGTTAAATAATTTTAAGGTACCGTAATGCAACTCTTGTGCCCAATTGCCAAATATGCAGAGCACCCCAGATCATCAGAAGTAGACTATCTGCTTCACAGCATCATCTCTAAACCCTGAGAACAATTTATGGGTCTCCTACAGAAGGATGATCAAATTCCAAGATTTTCTCTGGGGAAGTTAGGCTAAGGTATCAACTTGAATGTCCTAGGTCTAATCTAATAGGAAGTCTTCACTCTTTTTTTTAACCACTTTACAGTTTGCTGCTTCTCCTAATATCTATATTTGACTTCTGGCGGCCTTCTCTGGCTCACTTAATCCACTATCTGTTGATATCACAATAGATAAGAACAACAGTACATGGCCTCTAGGGAAAAACTGCATCTAAAAGCTAGGGCTAACTACACACACCCAACTACAGAGGTACTCTCTAATCAGACAAGAAGATGGGAGAACTGTAGCACCTCCAAGAGATAGCACACACTTTGTAGCAAATGCGTAACAGGCTATACTGAAATAGTGGAAGGGTTATGGGGGGGAGGGGGATATAAATATTTCATAGGCATGAAAACTGGGGATCCCACATGATAGGATGGCTTTTCTTTTCTTTTGGAATGAAAATATTTCTAATTCCTTTGGAAGACTATCTTTTGTGCTTAGGAAAAAAACTTTTTAAAATGAGGCTGTGTTTCACATTCATGTATGTAAAGGTGAAGTCTTACACAGAGTGGTTAGTGTCTAATTGAGTGAGTAGTTTAGAGAGTACAGTCTGTGTCCCAGCTTAACAATCATAGACTTCAAAATCTGTTGCTTGAATCTACAACCTTTGTAAGTCAAAGGGCATATAACTCTGCTTTTGGATTGACAAAGGGAAAGAAAGATTAGAAACATTCAACCTCTTACAAATTTCAACAATGTCCAAAGAGGGACTAAAAATGACTGGTGCTCACCAGAGTCCCAACTCTAGCAATACTGCCATCTATTTTACAATATTTTAACCAATCCAATCCTAATATTTTCTTTTTACACTGTCATTAACTACTGTACAAATAAATTCTAGATAAAATATGACATGATTTTTTTTTACAAATAGATACAAATGTTGACCAGATATGCTACATTAACTATGTACACCTTATTTCTCTAGAGGCAGGGATATTTCTTATTTTTAGACAACTGATCATTTACACTGAGACCCTGAGGAGGACCACCAGCTTCCTGCTCCTGGATGCTGCCTTCATTCTCTCTCTACCATTAGAAGCTTATCCTGTGCTTTAATCCCATCATTGAGCAAGAATCCTGGAAGGAAAAATCAAGGCCTTCTGAAGATCTTCTTGGGACTTTTCTGCCCCTATTCTAGAAACGATCGAGATTGTTTATTGTGATAGTCTGGAAATGAGCTTTTCTTCAATGACATCTTTTAACACAGAAAAATGAATAGCATCCCTGACCCTCCTTTTAAAAAAAAATGTGTTTCAGGAATGGAGATGAAGTCTTCCAGCAGTCTTTTCCCTCTGCACATCCGTCCTGTTATAGGTGGTTTGGTGAACACTTCTCCAGAAGTCTACTTGGAGGTCAAAATGAATTTGGGCTGCACAATGTGGTTCAGCTTTTCTATACACCCATGTGGTTTGGTACAAAAATATACTTCAAATCCTTAACGACAGTGAATGCTTCAGATCTTCATGGGAAAACTATAAGTAATAGGCTAAGCACATTACAAATTTGTACCTGAAAATTTCAGATGTACTACTTGCCTTTGCTTTCTCGGCAGACTCTATCCAGGCTTTGTCTGGCCCAAGGGCTGATGCTGTCTTAGTATGCACTGTGGTTTAACAATCCAGAAGAACAGTTCTATCTCCTTAGGCTTTGTAGTTATGCATGGGTGTCGTCAGGGTCAGCTGCCCATTGGGAGCCACTTCATTGCCATCATCTTCCAACAATCCTGACACATCTGCATTAGGAATGCTGTCGTGGTAGCTGCTGAAACTGATATTATCTTCTTTCAGCTCAATGGTCCAAAAGGGGGCATTCAGTTTCCGGTTTTGGTATTCCCGGTACATATACACAGCCCCCACAAATCCCATCAGCAGCACCACCACAATGATGATGACTGTCAAAATGATGATGTTAAATTGGGTCCATGATACATCAGCTAAAGCTGAAGTACTGTTTTCAGAAGAACTTACTGAAAAGATAGTCTGGAGGGTCGTAGGGGTAAATGTACTATTTATAACAGGGGTGGGCACTGATGTGGTCAAAGAGGCATTGGAAACCAAAATGGTAGAACCTTCAGGTGTTGGAACAATAACTTCTGAAAATAAAAAACAGAGAATGAAACGTAAAAGACAAAATTATTCAGTTTTGAGAAACAATAAAAAAATACACATGGGAGTGGAAGTTGATGCGGAATGTTGATATGCTTTAAGCTAATAAAAGTTAAAGACAATTTTTAAAGAAATATAATGGTTTAAAAATCAGGGTCTGGAAGCCTAGGCTACTATATTCATGGCTGTTCTCCAATATGTATAATGTCTATATTAAAATTTTTGGGAAAATTCCAATGTTGCAATTTTCCACCCTTCTTTACTCTTGGATACATTAGTACAAATTCCTGAAAAGGCAGTAAATATGTCACTACTGAGTTCTAAATTACTTGGTTAAAAGTGACAGGGATAGATGGCAATCATTTGAACTAAAATAAGTCCAACATGTCTGACAGCATTTCACAAGGGTAAAATTCTCCTCAAAGGAGGTGAAAACAAAATCGGAAAAACGGTGCTTCTAGTTACATCTGAAAAACACAATTTAAATGTCCAAAGTTGATGTCAGCCATGTGAGAAAACAGCCTTCGTTTAATTCCATTGTAATTCTTCCTTTGTGTAGATTATAGCTACTGTAAAATAAGGTAATATACTTTATATCTCTAATGACTGCATACTTAAAGATCAAAGGCTTTGGAATCAAATAGAACTGTGTGGCTATAGACAAGCCAATCTTCTTAAATTTGAGGTTCTTCATCTGTAAAATGAGAATAATATTATCTATTTTTCAGAGTTCTTGGGAAAGGTTAAATGAAATAATGTACCATACAAACATTATCACACTTAATGTTTGCAGTGCCTGGCACACATTAGGCACTCAAAAAATTATTCCTATTTATTATTAACATTCATTCAGCATCTATTAGGATATTAAAGAGTAGTTTGTAGAAGACCACAGTCTAACTTTTCTGTGATCTAATAAACCTAAATATCTCTAATTCATCCTGAAATTATAATCACCCTTAATTTTTATGTAAACCCTTATTTAACTTGTGTATAAGAAACATTTTTCTATGTAAATAACTTTTTTTTAAAAAAATCAAAATCAAAAGGATTTTTAAATACTTAAGTGTCCAAATGATTATTAGTATTATTTCCTCCATCAGACATGGGGAAACTTTGGAGACCCAAAGTTAGGACAGATGCTAGAATAAACTCTAGTTCTCAGCTGGAACTTCTAACCAGATTATAGGTCCCTGTTTGGAAAGACCTCTGATGATCACTGGAAGTGATGAGAATACAAGAAGCAAAGGATAAAAAAAATGATAGGACTTTTAAATTATTAACAACAGCAACAACAATAAAAAAAAAAAAATAGATGAAGAGAAAATGTGAGAATGCTGCAATGACTTTGTCTTGGTCCTCAAATTTCTGGAGTTCATTGTGGAGTGTCAGGAGAGCAGCAGGAATGGAAGAAAACCTCTTTAGGCAAGTATCTATCAAAATCGATTTCCAGAAATCTCTTCTGGTGAGATTGGAAGGTTTTACAAAGTTAAAGGTAGCTGTCCTCAAACTTTCACTGCTAGGCTTAGATATTAAATTTACAACCTTAGGTGAAGTTTTACCTTTCTTGATGCAACTTCCCTCGAGGTCTCGAACATAACCTTCTAGGCAGTTCTCACACAAAAACCCAGTGGTGTTATGGAGGCAGTTGATGCATTCACCACTCTCGGGCTTGCAAATCTTTGGAGTTTTAACTGGGTCCACGTGGCCATGACATTGGCACTTTATACAGATGCTGTCAGAATTGTAATAGCCATTTTCACACTTATTGCAGTTCCAGCCTGTGTAACCATCTTTACACTGGACACATTTAGGTTCCAATTCACCCAATTCTAAAAGAGACAGAACACCAATATAATTTAGTACAGTCTAAGTTACAATTAGAAATGCAAAACAACTACTAGACCTCATAAAATGCTTACAAACCTTTTGTTCATTCTATGTATACTATTGATTTTTAACAGCTTTACTGAAATGTATTTCACGTATCATACAACTCACATATTTAAAGTGTACAATTCAATGGTTTTTAGTATAGTCAGAGTTGTGCAACTGAGAAAGGATTTTAATTTACCATTCACTATGGAGCTCTGGTGATGCAGTGGTTAAGAGCTCAGCTGCTAACCAAATGGTCAGCAGTTTGAATCCACTAGCCACTCCTTGGAAGCGCTGTGGGGCAGTTCTACTCTGTCCTTTAGGATCATTATGAGTCGGAATCAGATTGATGGCAATGGGTTTGGTTTTTGGTTTTATCCCAATTAGTAGTGTGATCTCAAGTAAATTACTAAACTCTGGGCCTCAGTTTTCCATCTTTAAAATAAAGGGATTGAGCCAGGTGATACTTAGATCACTTTTAGCAATAAAAGATGGCAGTTGAATAAATCTGACACCCATGCAAGCAATGTATGCAAAAACAAAACAAAACAAAACAAAAAACCTCAACAAAAGAGCATACTCCTTCTTCCTAAGGAGTTTATAGCTCACAAAGGCACCATACTTTGCAGCATTTTTGTGTTGCAACACACTATACAAACAATAATTAATGTGAAAAAATGTCTGATAAAAATAGATTGAAGGCGTGAAATCAAGGTTTGTAAAAGCTTTTCACGTACAAACAGAAAACACAAAGAGAGGGGGACCTCATACCATCAAGAAAGCAGTGCCAGGAGCAGAGTGCGTCCTTTGGACTGGGGTCCCTGCGCAGAAAAGCTCCTAGTCCGGGGGAACACCAAAGAGCAGAAGGCCGACAGAGAGAAAAAGCCTTCCCCTGGAGCTGATGCCCTGAATTTGGACTTTTAGCCTACTTTAACTGTGAGGAAATAAACTTCTCTTCGTTAAAACCATCCACTTGTGGTATTTCCGTTATAGCAGCACTAGATGACTAAGACAGGTGGATATATGACATTATACATGTCTCAAAATCCATAGAACTGGAAAACACAATAAGAGAATCCTAATGTCAACTATGGATTTTAGTTAATCACACTGTATCAGTATTGTTTCATCAGCTGTAACAAATGTACCACACTAATGCAATCTGTTAATCATTGAAGAAACTGTGTGCAGACGAGCAGGGATATATGGGAACTCTCTGCACTTTCTCTGCAATTCTTTTTGTTAACCTAAAACTGCTCCAAAAAACAAAGTGTATTCATTTCAGAAAAAGAAAATACAGAGAGAATTGTTGAAGATTTGGTGGCAGAAAACTTCCCTGACATCGTTAAACATGAGAAGATATCTATCCAAGATGGTCATTGAAGCCCATGCAAGGTAGCTCTCAAAAGAAAGTCACCAAGACACATTGTAATCGAGCTTGCCAAAACCAAAGATAAAGAGAAAATTTTAAGAGTGGCTAGGGATAAATGAAAAGTCATCTACAAAGGAAAGTCAATACGAATAAGCTTGGACTACTCCGTAGAAACCATGCAGGCAAGAAGGCAGTTGGATGACATATATAAAGCCTGGAGGAAAAAAATGGCCAGCCAAGAACTATATATCCAGCAAAACTGTCTCTCAAACATGATGGTGAAATTAGGCCATTTCCAGATAAACAGAAGTTTAGGAAATTTGCAAAAACCAAATCAAAATTACAAGAAATACTAAAGGGAGTCCTCCGGTTAGAAAATCAATAACATCAGATAACAACCCAAGACTAGAACACAGGACAGAGAAACCAGATATCAACCCAGATAGGGAAGTCACAAAAATAAATCAAAGCTAAAACATTGAAAATAGGGAAACAGAGACGTCAATATGCAAAAGATGACAACATCAAAACAAAAAAGAAGGACTAAAAAATGTAGTCATAGATCTTTCATATGGAGAGGAAGTCAAGGCAATATAAAGAAATAAAAGATCGGTTTTAACTTAGAAAAATGGGGTAAATATTAAGGTAACCACAAAGGAAACTAATAATCCTACAAGTCAAAATAAAAAACTAGAAAAACATAAAGACTCAGCAAATACAAAATCAACAACAATGAAAAAGATGAAAAGAAAATACATAAAGAAAAACTACTTAGCACAGAAAATTAAGTGCAACAAAGAAACTGCC